AAAGGGGAGGGGGGCGAGCCTCGGGCTCGGCGTGGACGGGGCGGTGGGCGGCCGAGGGCACAGCCCGCGGCGTGACGGGGAGACGCTCCTCTTGCTGGTGCTACGCGTCAGAGCAGCCCGCGCCCCACCGGGGTCCTGCTCAGCCCTCACGTCCCAAAACGTGTCCCTGAGGTCGCTCAGGGCGAACGCCCCGCTCTGTCCAGCCCCGGACACAGAGCCGGACGGTGAGGGCCGGGAGCAGGAGGCAAGGGACCCACGTTACCTTCTCGGGTGACGATGGAAGCCGCGTCCAGGGCTCTGGTGCTGAGGTTGCCGAGCACGTTGTCCACAGCCTGGTGGTGTTTGAGGAAGCAGGGCCGGATGACGTTCTGGTACAGCACCTGCGACCCGTTCCAGGACACGGGGGCCATGCACCACACCAGGAATAGGCACTACAAGGAGGAGAGACACTCCAGAACTGGAAGACCGAGGCTGGGAGGGGAGGCAGGGCATGCAGGAGCTGAGCTAGGCAGCCTCCAGAAGGAGGGAAGTTATGGGGCAGTGGCTGAGGTGCTCCACCCTCGTCCAGCCTGGCTCTGCTCCTGTCCAAAGGCAGCTTCCCAGGGCTGGAGGTACCAGGGCCATGGCTGACTGCAGTGAGCTCTGCAGGGGACAGTCCTGAGCAGGACAGCGGTCTCCCACTAAGCTACACCTGGCTGCTGCCACCACCACAACTGCCCTGCTATGGGGTCAGAGCCCATCACACGTTTTCCTGTAGGTTCAGCCATCGTGTGAGTGGGCTCCAGCCTGTGCAGGCCCTTGCTCCCACTGCGGAGCTGTTACCTTCCCAGCGTAGTAGAATGGGAACCAGTAGAGGAAGGTGTCAGAGAAGAACTCGGCTATGCTGAAGACGCCGTACACCACCCAGTATGTGAGCCACGTGGTGTCATCCTCCTTGTTGGAGCTCTCAATGGCTTTGATGCTGCGGGAAGAAGAGGGGATAGGTCATGGCTTCTTCAGTCCTGTTTCCAGGATGGGCATGTCTTCCCCAGTCCTCCAACTTTGGAGCAAACCTGGCTACCAGGCTCCGCTGCCCCAAGTTGAGACCTTGCCAGGCCCCAGGGTTTTCAAAATATTTGTCTTCAAGAGCCCTTGTTTCCTCGGGAGCTTCCTGATCATAACCACCATCCGGGGGTGTTCATTTACCAGAGATACCTGGTCCCTCAGCTAAGGCAGGGAACGCTCTTCAGCATGAGCACTCGATATTTAACATGCCGTTGGCAGCTCAGTAACAAGCTGGGCTGCCCAGCAGCAGATGCTGCAGGGAGGCCGGGCCAAGGCACCGGTACTTACGAGACATATGCAGGGTAGACAAAGCCAATGAGGTTGCAGAGCAGCGCTGCGCCATAGCCGAACGCGAGGTACAGCCCCAGGAACGCGACAGACCCTGGGCCGGGGGGAGACAGTGAGAGTCATGTATTTGCCAACATGGAGGTTGCCAGGAGAGACTTCCAGGCAGCAGCTCAGTTGAGCAGGTTTCTCATCCCAGCAGTGGGAATTCACCGTGCAGATCCTGCCGGCTGCTGCAGGCGGCCGACATCTGCTCCCCCTCAGCCTCCAGCTGGAGGCGGCACAAGGCAGCCCCGTGGTGCTCCAGCACGGCTATGGGAGCTAGCGAGTGTCCGGAGCAGAGGTACGAGTGCTGGGGACCTCCAGATGGGGAAGGGGTGTGCATGGTAACAGCCACTCCATGTTTATTTAAAAGGACCCTCCATGTATCAGGCTGCTGAGGTGCTCAACATGCACCTGGAGCAGCTGCGCTGATACCACGGACAGCCTGGCTCAGCCTGTCCCGGGGTAAAGGTGCTCCCTCTCCCAAGAGGATATGCACACACACCCTTGGACTCTGCCAGGCACGGACGGCACCAGAGATGCCCAGGCACAAGCTCCTGAGGAAGGAAGTTCTGGTTCTGCCACTGTTTGTCCCCTCTTTGAGCCGGAAGGGACTTTTCTGTAGCAAACTTGGAGGACTTTTGACACAGAGCAGGCCTGGACCTGGGCCAGTGCTGCAAAGGGGCTGAATAGCAGAGGCTTTAACACTCACACCTACAGTCCAAAGGTAAGGGACTTCACAGAGCAATCGCGCTCCTCCAAACACCTCCTCAGCAGCTGGCACGGTCTGCGTGCCGCGGAGTTCAGAGCCGCTCAGCATTTTGATAACCCGGACAACTCTACAAGGGCAAGCTGTGCTATCGGAGCCAAGAGCTCCGATACCAGCCCTGCTCCGGGAGGAGGGGAGCAGCCTGCAGCCAGCTGCGTGGGGGAGACGTGCCCGGCTGCGACGGGGCTGTGCAGGACGAGCTCTACCCTCCCCGCAGCTCTCCTCGTGGGAGCGGCAGGGAGCCTACACCAGATCTGTAGTCCCCCGAGCCCTGAGAGCGCACTCAAAGCTGCCCCCCTCCCTGTGTTCAGGGCACGCATCTCCTTCCTGCCTTCTGTACGCATCCCCTGGATGCGCTTGTGCTGAGCAGTCACCGTTCGTTAAGAATTCAGCCCCCTGAGAACAGCAATCCAAACCCGCTTTCCTGTTATTAAATTAAATCATTAAATTAAATGTAATCCAAAGCTTTGGTTGTTTGGAATCTCCCCAGCCTCAGAGGCTGGCGGGAAGCAAGATCGGAGAGCTGGGAGAATCTGCAAGAGCCCCGATGCTTGGGAGGGTGGGAGCCCGAAAAAGCAGCCCTTGCTGCCAAAACCAGTGCTGCAGCAAAGAGCCGTCATTCGCATGCTGGACCCCTCTCCTGGCGCGCGGGGCAGCGAGGCGCTGGCACTGAACACGTCCCTTCCAGCCCAGCTGCACCCCGGCCACACAGACACCTGCCTGAGGCAGCCAAAAGCAGACCCCGAAGGGACAGAGGGCAGAAAAGCAACCCTGGCCCACGCAGAGCTAAAGGAAGGACGATCACTGTCACATCTCAGCAGCGTCACTGCTATTGCGCGCCCTGTTCATGACACCTCTACATGTGCAAAAGCCTCTTATTCTGCAGCTCGCAGGAAAGCCAAGGCTTAAGCCCACCTGTGATGGGAATTAGAGGAAAGCCTTTGCTCAGGCATGAAGGACGGATTATCCCAGATCTGCTCACAGCAGCATTTCTTCTCCTTTCCCTGGCTCCCAGCACCAAGGTGGCTTTGGGTCTTTCCAAAGAGACAGGCAGGAGCAACACCATTTTCTTGCAGTTTGCATGGAGTGATCACAAGCTTCCCTCAAAGGAAAACTAACAGGGAGGTTCAGATAGCTCTGGGTTTCATTCTCTGAAGAGCCCTAGAACAGATTTTATGGGCTGCCTAAGTTTAGTCCCTGGAGAAATTTATATAAAAAGGAAAGAGACTTAGTGTATAAAGAAAAGCCTTGTGCTTCAGGAGGGAGGAAGCAGACACATGTGAGTCCTGCTTCTCATCCCCTCCACCAACGTGCCTCCTGCCCGACTGCTGCACTCCCTTTCTGCTCCCTGCGGCCTCGCCAACCCCGCTCGGCCCTCCGTGGGTCTCACCTCACGCAGCCAGGGACTCGCACGCGTTTCTCCCGCTCCAGCTCCCCTCCCTCCCCAAAGCGTTTTGCACAGGTCGGCGTGAGACCCACATCCTCCTCAGGCAGCAGACGCCGTCAATTCTCACCCTCCAGCAGCACTCAAACCCTGGCCTCAGGGCTGATGCACAAAATCCCCCACGGAGACCCAGCTCTGTCTCCTTACAGAGGAGGAGGATTTGGAAGAAATCTAATTGACAAAAATAGCATTTAAAAAGAGCGCGAGGTTTTGCTGACACAGCACATTGGGAGCGGGATATCATCCTTGTCCAGCACAACTTTTACCCAGCTCAAGCTGAGGTACAGCTTGCCCAGAGCCTCTGCACGGCAGCACCTGGGTCGTTAATGGTTCAAAACATGCAAGACGGACGCTGCTGGTTTAAAACACAAATTAGTAACTGCTCCAAGCCCAGGCAAGAGGAGAAAAGAAATCTGATATCTGTTGTTTAGTCACAGCCTGTCCTTTCACAGGACTGAGACGCGAGAAGACAGGTATTAGCTCCTCGGTGTAAGTGATGCCTCTGTGCTTTTCCTACTAACAAAAGCACATCATACAAATGCTTCTGAGCACAACCAGAGCCCCAGGACTTTCTGCCTGGAAGACACCTGAGCATCAAGCATCACTTCCAAGCACAACCTGCTTGGAGAATGCAACCAGCACGTGCCCATTCATGCACGTGCTTCCCCAAACGAAGTGGAAAAACGAGCTTTACAGCAGGGA